TGCCATACAAGGGAAGCATTCTCTAGCTTAGACTTATATTAAATATGATTTGAACGAAACAACTACTCAGCGGGCAAATACCCCGACCTGCATTGGATTATACCTTCAAATCATGATAGATTGGTAGCCAATATCATTTGTCAATTCCTAACCAGACATAGACCGGTTTCGAACTTATTAGTTCTCCTCAGTATGCCATAGGTTATGGAACAGACAAATGATAGATTTTATCTACCTCTCACCACTACTCAATTTACCTTAGTCAGTATTTGACTAGCAGAGTGGCCACTATCATTTGTCTGTCCATAACCTATGGCATACTGAGGAGAACTAATAAGTTCGAAACCGGTCTATGTCTGGTGAGGAATTGACAAATGATATTGGCTACCGATCTATCATGATTTGAAGGTATAATCCAATGCAGGTCGGGGTATTTGCCAGCTGAGGAGTTGTTTCGTTCAAATCATATTTAATAACAGTAGTTTAGTCCATCTGGGCTAGAGGTCGCCGCTCTCGGTACTTGCTTCGCAAGTCACTGTCCGCCACAGGGACATCTATGATGTAGGTCGGATAGTAGCATTTGGACCATATGTGAAATTTCACATACCTCTCACCACTACTCAATTTACCTTAGTCAGTATATGCCTAGCAGGGTGGCCACTATCAATTGTCTGTTCCATAACCTATGACATACTTAAGAGAACTAATAAGTTCGAAACCGGTCTATGTCTGGTTAGGAATTGACAAATGATATTGGCTATCGATCTATCATGATTTGAAGGTATAATCCAATGCAGGTCGGGGTATTTGCCCGCTGAGTTAGTTGTTTCGTTCGAAGCCTATTTAATAACAGTAGTTTAGTCCACCTGGGCTAGAGGTCGCCGCTCTCGGTAGTTGCTTCGCAAGTCGCTATCCGCCACAGAGACATCTATGATGTAGGTCGGATAGTAGCATTTGGACCATATGAGCAGTTTCACATACCTCTCACCACTACTCTAGCTTAGATCCCAAAAATTAAAAGTACAATAATTTTGAAGTTGCAATATGTGAGAAATCACGGCCATTGCGTATAATTAATCCTAATGTCTTATTTATGTCACCTATTAACATATCAATATGACCAACAAAAGTTAGGTTTCTGTCCAAACTTACCCCAATATCTTCAAACGTGGATGGTTGAGTTAGCAGTTCGTCATTAAGTGTATATTCGAAGGTATAATCAGAATCTTTAGTGCAAAATGTCATTACATTATATTTTTTGCACATTTAATGTGTTTGCGAGACATCAAGAGCTAAGTTTGGAGATGTTGCTTTGTAATTTAATACGATCATTTAAGTTCTATATAGGAGTTTTATGTCATTTTCATGGTACGGATCTGGGAGAGAGAATTAAATGCCATATTATTACCAATAGAATACTACATCATTTTTCAAGTACAAGTTTAAGACAATGACCTTAATTATTATAATGATTCAATTTCCCAGTCTTAAGTATCATATGAGTCACTAAGTAAATCATTAAGGAAAATTGTGCCATTATATGAATTTATTAGCGCCACGACCAGCAATTATTAATTATTATTGACTCCTTACTTTTCACGAATTCGCATAAAACATATCCGCACTATATTTTTAAATGAATCTGTGTCAGAATCAGTCGTGCTCAAAACAAAAAAATTTAAGTGATTATTCTAAAAAGAATATTAAAATTTTAAATAAAGTTTAAACAGATAAAATTTATGTAACCTTTATTTAATCTCCAATTAAAGCCGTAAAGCAATTTTTATTTCATCAGCTATAATTACTACCTGCACTGAAAATCCTGAAAATTCTCTGCGTGACCAATCACCGCACTGCCGGAATGTAATATGGTTTCATTTGGTTCACCTCATTCGTGGTATTTACTTAATTATAGACCAATCCCATGGCACAGACATATTATATCTGCCTCTTAAAGTAATTAGAAACACGACTCTCCCTGACTCCTTGAATAGATTAAAGAGGATCAAAATATACGCTAGACATTGAAAGATATAAAGGAAAAATGTAATTTTAATAATGCTTTATTCTATAATAAAACTGGACGAAAGGTATGATGTTAAAAATACGATATGGGGAAAAAAGAAAACATTGTCAAAGAAGTTCGACTAAATTCAGAGTGAAATATTACTAAATATTGAATAACATACGACTCATTTATATTGCCTCTAGGGTATACTCGATGAAACAAATTTAAGCAAAGAAAATGTTCTGTTTAATGTTTCAGTAGAATTTAGACTTGTTTTCATTTTATAAATCTTTAGATGTACCTTTTTCAAGAATATAACATTTCCTAAATGCACATTGTATGTAACTATGTATACAGAATGTCCCAAAAAATGGAACCCAGAAAGCTGGTTATGCCTATATAAGAAAAAATTATTTTTTAGTTTCATAATACCACCTTCGTAAATTATTTTAGTTACCTGATTAACAAAGGGATATAAGGCATAGATGTCTCTAATTAAAATAAATAAATAATTCCTTAGAAACCACTGACTTAAAATGCTATTTGATTAATATTAATATAATATTTCAATAATTCGAGCTTTATAGCAAACCCTTAAAAAAACAATGGTTTGAGGGAGAATATCTTTAAACGATTTAAAAGTTATTTATTTATACGAATATAATATGAGAGAGTCAAACATTTTCATCTAGTGTTCCACAAGAAACTGTGTAGGGACTTTTTTTTCTGTGATACGTATAAACACCTTTTTTTTAAAAATGTCCTGTTCACATAGAATTCAATATTTGCACAAGCTATACTAAGACAACTTAGACCGGTGAATTCAGTTTTTGTTTTTTGGTCTAGTTTTCAAACAGATGTAAAAGTTGTATAAAAGTAGTAACCAACAACTAATGGGCAACAGACAATGCACACTTGGTAATAGAAAAACATGCTCAACAACCCCAAGAAGTTAACATATAGGCCACTTTAATTGAGTCCTTTCATTTTCAAGGAAAATGTAAATGGTGAAAATTGTTTTACAGTTTTTAGAAAATTTGTTGGTTCCTGCTTTAATAGAACTGTATCTATAACGAATTATCGGATACTTTTTTTAGCAGGACTGCCAACGACTGCACTACTAAGTTACTGTACGTTTATACTTTAATTAAATATTTCCAACTCGCTGGATTGGTAGACGAGAACTTCTTGTATTGACCGGCAAGTTTCCCAGACCTTACGCCATTAGATTTCTTTTTATGGGGATATCCCAAAGGTGGCGTTTAAGTAAAACATCCTCGTAACTTAGATGAATTAGAGCAAAGGATTTGACAGGAGATGCGATTAGTTACGCTAGATAATGTTTAGATTGTATAAAGGAATTCATTGACCGACCAAGGCCCTGTCAAGTTGCAGACGAACATTAGTTCAAACAAGATAGATTTACTGGGGTTCAAAATAAAACAAAGAAGGTTTAGTGCCATATTCCCCAAAAAGAAACAATTATGCAGCTACGGACACGTGTTTCGGAGTTATTGCCCCTCATCAGCGTAGCGTAGCTAAGGAATTGGATCTACGATGGGATAGATCAGGAACAAGAACTAAAATAAGGCTGGAAAGTACAGTACATAGTACTCAATTAGTATCTTCATGTTCCCATGTGCCACATTTGGGGCCTCGATGAGCACAGTCAACACACAGAGCTCTATGTGTATGCTCATTTCCACCTGGCACATACAAATAAAACAAGATGGCACTAAACCTTCTTTGTTTTATTTTGAACCCCAATAAATCTATCTTGTTTTATTTGTATGTGCCAGGTGGAAATGAGCAGTACACATAGAGCTCTGTGTGTTGACTGTGCTCATCGAGGCCCCAAATGTGGCACATGGAAACATGAAGACACTAATTGAGTACTGTGTACTGTACTTTCCAGCATTATTTTAGTTCTTGTTCCTGATCTATCCCATCGTAGATCCAATTCCTTAGCTACGTTACGCTGATGAGGGGCAATAACTCCGAAACACGTGTCCGTAGCTGCATAATTGTTTCTTTTTGGGGAATGTGGCACTAAACCTTCTTTGTTTTATTAGTTCGAACATTTATAATGATGGAGGCCTTTTGAGTTATCGAGTTGTGCTTTTTTTGTTGTTGATTGAGACAACTAAAAATAACAAAACGAGAAAAAATTGAATTTAAGGTACAGGATATCTGGCATAAAATACATTTTTTTGAATTAACCATCCTCAAGAATTCACTTTCGATGTAACCAGAAGTACTAGTAACTTCATTATTTTCAATAGCACTGCTGCAAATGGATACTTTAAACCTCTATCAGATAAGATTTAAAAATATACTGGGTGCTATTTAAAATGTAAAACAGTCACTGGTGATTCCGATTAAACCGGTCTAGTTAGGTCAAAAAATGTAATTTTTATGCCAAATATTCCGTACCCTAATTTAAAATCTTTATCTTGAAAAATAAAGAAAAAAGTAGGAGGTACATGGTTTTGTGGGCACCCGGTATAAATTTGTCATCAGACATTTAAAAAGTATCAGTCTTGCCAAGTTGCCATAATGTCTATTATCAATTTATACCTATAATATCCTCTCCCTTACGGAAGCTATAGAGCTAGAAAGGAATTTTAATTCAATTAATGTTCCATAATTACATTTTCACATAGTGCTTCACCGTTAAATAGTCATTTTAAAAAGTAATTTAATGTTTTAGCAGACCGAAGTCTTATCACCCATTTACGAATATCAAATTAAAAATGCTAATATTATTCTGCATAAAATTTTAACTGCAATAACTCAACTTTAGATGACATAAAATTGCAGTAAGGAAAAGAACTTGTGCCAAGCATATTAAAGATAATTAAATTTTTCCAATTGATTAATTTTCAGTTTGGTTTATTGGAAAAATGTGACTTACTTACAGAAAATAACGTAATTATACTGTCTACCTATTCAATAAAATCAGTATTTTTTAAACGATAAAATTAATAATAAAGCATATTAGCTGAGTGGGTAAAGCGCTATAGAAAGTTAATTACTCGGTACCGAAGATCGATGGTTCGATCCCATCCTGGAGCAAATTAGAAATAGTTTGTTTCGGACTAAGATGGTAGAGAGAACGCTCGATGTCCTAGATGTACTTCGGACTCCACAATAAATTTTAGGGCCTCGTCTCTTTCTATCCAACACAAAATCCTGGGATTTTTTCGGGAGTTAATTCGGTGACTTGAGAGGTCATTAAGAAAACATTTCAAAACATTTCAAATATTTCAAATTAATTTATAACCGGTCACTTTCAGTCTAATTCATACTTATGTATATTTAAAAGCGGCAATTGTCATATAATCATATACAAGGTGTTTCCAAGAGGTGATTCCTTGAGGGATTTTAAAGAAAAATGTTCCTATGAACATCGGTCCCGAAAGCCTCCCTTCTATGCTAAAAAAAAAAAAATTCAGTGATTATATTTCCTAATTTATAATTAAATTTGCACTACTGACATCTGTCGACGTAGAAATATCATTTTCCTCATACAAAGTGATATATCGACCAAATCGGTTCAACCTGAAAGCTGTCCACGCAGAACAAATTCTGATAATATCAGTCTAGTAATGTCTTGGAGCACAACACAAGAAGTGTCATGAAATGTTAAGACACTCGATGTATGTATTTTAATTAGTCCGTACAATTGATTGTTATTGTCTCTTACTCTATATGCCGGCCCTGCTTGCACGGAAATTGTTCAGTGTTCAGTTATAAGCATCTTAGATAAAAATTATAATAATATTCTGTTCTTTATTATACATTTATATGCTGTTTCTATGTTTACCTTTAGAAATTAAAAAATATCTGATGTGGCCAGCACTTTCTTATGCCAGTAGATATCATCCTAATCTAAAAAAAATTATTCTATTTAATTATTCACTTACCTCAATTGAATTTTAATAGCCTACCTTGAAATGTTTCATTAACATTTTTAAATAATTAATTGTCAGCGTTATTTGACACTTTCAATAATAATTCATGTCATATATTTTAATAATTTTTTGTTGTTGACATTGACATTTTTGTAACTAAATTAGACCTTTCAAACGTCAAACTATTACATTTATCCTAACCCCATTTTATGAGGCCAAATGTGTAAAATATTCCAGTTTACATCAGCTTTATTTAAGTACTTGGAAAATATATTTTATTCGCTTGATATAGTAGACATGATTTATTATATTTCAAAAATATATTTTTTCATAAAGTCAAATACAAAAAAGTTTGGGTCCCGTGAACCCCCTTTCAGCTGGCCAATTTTGCTCATCACCGAATTTTTTATTGTCATTGGCCTTTAGAACAAGTGTATCAAATTTGAAAGCTTTATCTCAAAAACTGTGGCTGCTATCGTGATACTACAGACATGCGGACAGATTTTTTTGTCATATAGTTTTGTTTTTTCATTATAATTCGTCGAGATTTGTCCAGAAATGCAATAAATTTTTTACAATTTTTTTTTCCAAAATTGTATCTTTTTTTCCTCTTTCCTTCATTATATCCTTCTGGTGGTGCCACATTCACCAAATTTAATGTGTCATCTAAAATGTTGTTGACAATCTTAACTGTCAAATTTAGAAAGTCTCCCATTGGTGTATTTTTTGAGTTATCGCGGATACACACACACAACACACATACACACACACATCCTCACACACATCAACCATACACACATCCACACACGCACCGACAGACATCATTCGGGAAATAGTCAGAATGGATTCAGAAGGGTTCAAAACGTATGTATCAATCAAAATCTCGAGGTTGCAAGAAATTACGATTACTATACTTCCTTATATTAGGTATAAGAAAGTAAAAAGGGTGGTGTGAAATCAGCAAAATGTAAAATTTTACAAAATTGAATAAATCTATTCGCTGGAAGTTAAATTTATTTTATTATCTTCATTTCTGGAAGAATAATTTATTTGTGATGAAATTCAACATATATGTATCATAATGTTATAACACATTTTATTACAAATTTATATATACAGGGTGTCCCAAGTTAACACTGCACCATTGCTAACTTCGTTATTTTTAGAGTTACGAAGTCGGTCAAATTAGCAACCTAGTAGGATTTTTCCCGCTGATTACAATGGTGAAAACAGAGAAACAAGTGAATGCAGTGTTTCCGAATTACTTGCAAAAACATGATTATTTTAAATGGAAGACCCTGTATATTTTCTGATATTTCGAAATAATATTAAATTCTCTATGTACTAATGCTCTATTAAAATTGTAAATGAAAAAGTTACAAGCCTTTAAATTATTCTTCAAATGAAAGGAACTAGAGTCGATTATTCAAAACAATCGCATTGCCTTTGTAAACAAAAGACGACATCTGTCAAATTATTTTCGTTGCACAACTAACTTCATCTTATGCATTTTAAAATTAAAATGTTTACATGTGATGAAACTAGTTTTATAATACGCAAAATAAAATAGTAAAAAAACATTAAATACAAGTAAGAATAATAGGTATTTTACAATTAATTGTTTATTTTAATAAGAATGTTCACAAAGTAACTTCAAAGACATTTAGGTAATTAATTTATTAAATGTTCAAAAATGTTGCTCTTCAATACATTTTTGTCCCCTCTTTTGTACACGTCGTAAATACCTAGTTCTGTCATCAACCCCATTTATAATTTCACAAATTTTGCTCCTCCAAGTTTCTGTACTTTACTTTATATACTTCATTTTTGACATAATCCCAGAGATAAGAATCTAGGGTTGTAATATCTGGAGAACGAGCAAATCAACGAATCGGTCCATTTGTTACTATCCACTGATTTTCAAAAATTTCTCGTAATAAATCATAGGTTCTATAGTAATTATGAGTAGGTGCGCCATCTTGTTGAAAGTAGATCCATGAATAATTAACTAATGGAATGTTATCTAAAATATTTTCCAAAACTTCTCTCATTAATTTTAAATATCTTCTCCTGTTAAGATACCATGATAAAATATAGGACCCACAATTCTGGAACCGATTAAACCACACCAGACATTTAAACTGAAACGATTTTGATGATACTGTGATCCACAAAACAAAATTTAAGATTATCTGGCCTTTAGTCACAAAAGCTTATAAGCCACTGACAAAACACCAATATTCTTTCCTGACTTCCAGGTTGTAGCATTTATACATTTAAATATTTATGGGGATGAAACTTGTTTTTCAAAATGTTCGGTATAGTACATAGAATTGGCACATCTAAGGCTTGGGAAAGATGCCTTAAGAACGTATCAGGATATGCTTAAAAATATGCAAGAACATTAGTTTCCGTATCCTCGTTGATTATAAAAGTTTTCTTGGTTGTGCCATGCTTAAATGTATTTTCGTTTCCTCTAAGTTTTGTGTGTAAGTGTAAAAAATAACCTCGATATGGTACTTTCCGGTTTGGAAATGTAAGCCGGTAGTGTTTCCATGCTCTATCTTCATTTCTTCGGCAAGCTAAATATGTCTCTAGCATGTCACATTTTTCTAAATAAGTAAATTGCATTTTAAAAGAAAATATCAGCTTGCAGTACTTATTGTTATTGAATGATTTAAGTCATAAAACAAACTCAAAATAAAATAATTTGCACACATGTTGTTTATTGTTTACCAAGGCAATCATGTCTATGATGTATCTTCTCATGTTATTATAACAGTCTTGTTAACCTCTTATCCAATCAGAAACTGCCTTTTGAAAAATCTTTAATTCTAATATTGGCTATTACTGCTGTTAACTTTAGTTATAATAACAGGGATGTTACCTGTTATTATAACTAAAGTTAACGGTAGTAATAGCTTTTATCTTGAAAACGTATTTATGAATGGGCAAATCCGTACACTATGCAATGAAGCCGCAGTCAGGTTGTATTGTAAAATCAGTATTTACTTCATTGTTTACCAGTGAGCCGCAGGCACGGTTCATAAACAATACGGTTGTCGCATTTAATAAAATTATGGTGGGAGGAAACATCAAAGACGTCGCAAAGGGCATTTTCGCTTGTTATAAAATATTCGTAAAGTATTCAGAAATCGAAAAAAAAAAACAATATTAAAAACTTAAAATGACACAAATACAAAAATAAACACTTCGAACGAGAAGCGAAAAAGGCCTTTGTGACGTCATTGACGTGTCCCCCCCACCATAATTTTATTAAATGCGACAACCGTTTTGTTTATGAACCGTGAGCCGCAGACCCAACATAAAAAAATTGTGGTAGGGTATTAAACAGCGGCCATTCGCCATTTCTGATTGGCAGACAAATCGTAAACAGACCAGCTTACGAGTTGCCGCGATCTAACTTGTTCTGCCAGAGGCGTCTCATATAGGAAGCGGGCAAATAAATAAGAGAGAGGCGAATCACTTACAATATAAATATATGTATCATATCAAAGTAACCATTGATTAAAATAATTATTACATCATGAAAATATATAAAATAACTAAAAATTGCCATAAATTGAAAAGAAAATTAAACTAAATAAAACGCAATAAAAACACCGTTAGTTTTTTAAAAGAGTTGAGTATGAAAAAAAATTATAACAAAATTACTACACAAAACAAATTATTTAAAAAAAATAGCCAATATCACAACAATGAATGAAAACAGAAAACATAAAAATAAATAGTAAAAAAACATAATATCAAAACAAAAAAAATTACATATACGGTGTCCCCCCCGATTGAGTTCGCAATAGGTGATGTGGACCTCAAATTTGAGATTTTTTTTGCAATTTGAGGGTCATCCCTCGTTATCTGAAAAGAAATTTTTTGTGTATTTTTGTTTTATTTTTAATCACGTAGGCCATGATAGTTAAGCAAAAACGACTCTCTTGTTACGTAAAGTACATTGTCTGTAAAGACAGCAAAATGTCAGTAAGGAAAGATATTTATTTATTTATTTATTTATTTATTTATTTATTTATTTATTTATTTATTTATTTATTTATTTATTTATTTATTTATTTATTCATTCGTTTGTTCGTTCTTCCATTCATTCATTTATTCATTCATTCATTCATTCATTCATTCATTCAT